TCTACCTGACTAGTTTGAATTGCAAAGTTTTCTGGGTACACACTGTTCTCTCACTTCTGTCTTTACACATTCTGTTTCCTATCCCTAGGCATTTCCTGCCTTTGCTTGAGCAGTCAGATTCATCTGGCCTCATCTCCAGTTAACCTTTGCTCTTCTGTGTTCATAAATACATTGTAATTACAAATAATACACACTACAAAAGAAAAGGGTTGTGAGAAAAATAAACGTTTTGATGTTTACTCAGTATGTGCTAAATGTTACAATAGGGAGTAGACACCCAAATACAAACAAGAAGCTCTTTTGTGTAATTGCTGATATCTATTAATATTTCTCACCTTCCAAGAGGGAACAGGGCTCTGCCTATTTGGGATACATAGTATTGCCTTTTGTGAGTCCAATATCTAGCATATTATATGTGGCTACTTAATGCATGCTGATTGCAAGAAGGAATCAATTGATTCATCATTTATCTATTTCCTTTGTGTACACACAGACACAACCACAAATACAGAAATAAAACAATATACACATATCTATATCTTAATGTATCTACAATATATCAATATTTATACCTGTCAGTTATGTTAGGAAGACCTGGGAACATTTTGGAAGTATGTAGCATAGGGACTGAAAATTGACGGATGACAGTGATCAATTCCAGCTAGTTTATTAGTCAACAAGGAGCAGGTTGGTGAAGTTGTGGTGCAAGCTGTGTTATTGAATGGACTTTCCTGCCAGGGCACTGCACTTCCCTCTCTGCACTGAACTCCTAGCTTGGCAAAGGGGCTTGAGCAGACTCTCCTCAGACCCTCGGTGTTGCCTCTGCTGACCGCCACTTGGACCAGGAAGTCCTCTTTTCCCCGGGGCCAGGAAAGCCCTAAAGACCCTCCCACTTCTCGCGAGGCCCCTGTGCGCTCCCACCTGAACCTCTCTTGACCCGCGGTATCCCAGATCTGAAGCTTGATGCGTTTTCCGGGCTCGATCTCCACCAAGCGGGAGAAAAAATCCACCCCCACAGTGGGGTCGGAAACCTGGGCAAAGCGGCCCTCGGTGAAGCGGCGGATGAGACAAGACTTGCCCACTGTGGAATCCCCGATGACAATGAGCCGGAACTGGTACAGCCAGATGGCCTCCATGGCCGCGGCTCAGCAGGTCTCCTTGCCCAGGCCGGACCGTGGGAGGTGGCGCCCCACCGAGGCCTCAGAGAGCGTGGCTTGGCCTGGATTTAGCTCCTCCACGAGGGCATCGCCGGCCTGGGGGCCCAAAGTGAGGTAGTAGGCCCAGGCGCCCAGAGAGCTGAGGACGGATGCTGCGCTCGCAAAGGTGATGAAATGGCAGCAGCATCAGCACCACGCACTCTGACTCATCACTGACAACCGGGTTACTGTAATCCCCCGCATAGGCGCGGCGACCAGTACCGCCGCACTGTCTGTAAGAGGAGCGCACACAGAAACGGCCACAAAAACAGCGTGTTCCCTTCCTTTCTAAATGACTGCACTACTATTCTTCTTAATTTAAAATGTTCTCTATTGTTCAGGTTGCAAATGCAATATCTTTTTTATCAAAAGTACCATAATAATACAAAATGTGCACAAAAAAGGTAAGGTTCATAGTTACATATTCTTCCATATGTGTTTCCATGCTCATGTAAACACAAACATTTTACATAAATGCATGTATACACACATATGCATTTATTGCAGTTTGTTTTCACAAACATTGACTTAAACTGGACTTTAATTTGGCATTTTGCAATTAATAAAGCATCATAAATATCTCTCCATTTCAATTCTTTTTTTTTGCCATAAAAACACTGCAACAAAGATTAATTTAAAGTATACCCGCAAAAACATTATTTCTATGGGCTAGAGTATTAAAACAGGGAAGTCAGAGCATATGAGAACTACAAATTTAATGGTCATGGGCATTACTTTTCAAAAATATTTAGGAATTTCAATTCTAGCCAGCAATGAGTGAAAAGACCACGTCTCTACATTATTTTAAGCATTGTGTGTGTTTTTTTTTTTTCTCTTCTTAAATTTTTTTTTCACCTTAGGGCACATGCACTTCCCAGAGAGCAACAGAAAAGGAGGAAAATTGAGAAATCACCTTCCAGGGAAGATGGTCACACTGCAATCCCTTCTCAATTCTCCTCTGGGATTCTAGGCATGCGCCAGGTGTGCTTTTCAAGCCCCTGGGTCTGTGACTCAAATCTCACAGTTGGTCATGTGGAATCCAACACTTTAACTACCAGTCAATTGATGGCCCCATGTTTTACCCTTTCTTAATTCTTGTTAATCTTATTTATTTAAATAAACAATATATCTCATTGCTTTATTTTACATTTCTCTGACTGCTAATGAGGTCAACACCATGTTTTCTGCTTTGATCATTTGCATTTCCTCTTGGGACTGCCTCTTAATAACCTTTGTTTCTTTTCTTTTACTTGTTCTCTCCCCACCCCCCCACCCTCCCCCATAATTCTTAATCATTGCCTTACTCAATTTGTTCTGTTTTTTTTTTTAATGGCTTTATTGATAACTAATTCACATACTACACAATTCAACCATCTCATGTGAACTGTTCAATGGTTTTTAGTATAATGACAGATATGTGCAACCATCACTACATTTAATTTTAGAATATTTCTACTACATCAAAAATAAACTCAAACCTCTTAGCCATCAGTCCTCTATCCTACTTCTCTGTAACTCCTGGAAACCACTCATTTACTTTCTGTCTCTATAGATTTCACTATTCTGGATATTTTATATAAGTGGAATCACATAATATATGGACTTTGACAACTCACTGCTTTTGTGATAGGCAGCTAGAAATGAGCAGGTAGCCCTAAGAAAATAGGAAAAGGACATCAGCCACATCAATCACAATTTATGAGGAGTTACAACCAGACCATTTTGAGACTCCTTCCTCCCACCCAACTTCTGGCAACAGAAAGGCAGAGCAGATCCCATTTTCCTTCTTTGGTACCTGAGGAAGACACATAGGGATAGTTGTAAATTTCACTCTTACCATTCCTCATAAATGCAAAGGGACCCAGTGAGACGTTTTGGTCAACATCTTAATTCCCACTGGGGCAATAAGCTAATTGGGCAGTTCGTCCAAATAAGGATGTTCATATCTCCCACTTTACACTGAGCACGTGGCATTACATCATTGACTTCCTCACCTATGAGAGAGATACACAAGTGTAGGAAAAAGCTCACAAATTCAACAAAGAAGCCAGATACTATGACAGACCTTGCCCTGCTAAATATTCATGATCAATTCTTGGAATAAATGTAACACCTAAACCCATGCCCAGTGCAGTTGTCCTTCTCTGGCAGCTGCCCACCTGCATGCCCTTTGGGCATGGAGATGTACTCCTTTCCTATTAAAAATCCTCACTTTCCTGTTAAAACTTCCCTTTTCCTACTTTACAAGTGTTTGTGGTTTTTCATTTCGTTTCCCAGGATGGGTCTCTAATCTTAGAGATCTGGACCTAAAGAACCAAGAATTTTACATAATGCAGATCAACTCTCCCAAACTATGACACTTTCCCTTAGCATGTTTTCAAGATTCATTCACATGATACATCAGTACTTCATTTCCTTTTGACTAATATTCCATTGTACAGACATACCATGAATGGATTTTGTTTATCCTTTCATCAGTTGATGGACATTTTAATTGTTTCTATCTTTTGGCTATTTGTGAATAGTTCTGTCATAAACATTCATGTAGAGGGATTTTGACCACTGAAGACCCTCTGCCCAGACTTCACCCTCTTGCTCCAAAGTCTAGCCAGGAGCCAGGTTAGAGCATCCTACTTATTCTTTCTGTCTCTTTCCATCTCTCTCTCTTTATAAATTTTTAACTTAGCTCTCTGCTGCTCGTTTGTCTTTCTAATTCTTACCTTTCCCCTGCCCCATAAGATAAGCCAATCAGCAGCCATCTGTATTTGAGTTCTGAGTGGCTCCATTCACGTGGTGCACCGCTTGGCTTTTATTTTTTGACAAAAAGATTTCTTTCTTCTTGTTTTTGTCTTTTTTTTTTCTCCCTTTTCTTTTAACCTTTCTTACTTTTCTGCTCAGCCTCCATACACTGACTTTCTAGACAGGTCTAGGTGCTCAGTAGCCAAATATTTGAATACTTTTAGGATCAGATTAATCCTCAATTTTCATTGAATCAATTGTGCAAAGGGAGAAAGATGATACTGTTTACAAACTTCAGGTCATCTCCTTCTGCATTCCTCTGATTTCTCAGAGTTAACTCCAAAAAATAGGAAAATATGTATAATCCATGAGATGGCTGGAAACCACCACAGAGGCACAAGAAATATGAGAAACCAAGAAAATATCTCTCCTCTAATGGAAAAGAATAACTTCCTATACAATGAATACAGGGGAACTCATGGAAATGTCAGATAAAGAATTTAAAATATTCATAGTGACAAAACTAACAGAGATGTAAGAGAATAGAGACAACAAACTCCAGAAGATACAGGAGAAAAGAGACACCAATTCCAGGAGGTGAGGAAGTTCTTGCACAATTTGAAGGAGGAGATACACATCATAAAAGAGAATCAAATGGAGCTGTTAGAGATGAAGGCTGTAATACAGGAAATCAAAACTTCCATTGAAAATATCAAAAGCAGATCAGATCATGCAGAAGATCTAATCTCAGATGTAGAAGATAAAACCTCTGACCTAGAAAAATTCATCAAAAAGACTGAGAAAGAAAATAACCCCCAAAAATGAGAATAACATATGAGTAATAATAGATACCATTAAACGTCCAAACCTCTAGATCATCTGTATCCCACAAGGTGAAGAAACTAATAAGGGCATTGATAATCTATTTCATGAAATCCTGGAAGAAAACTTTCTAAATCTAGAAATGCTTTTAAGTATCCAGACCCAAGAAATACAAAGGACCCCACATAGAATCAACTCAAGAAGATCTTCTACAAGGCACATCTTAGCCAAAGCACATTGTAGCCAGAAAACTACAGACAGAGACAAGATACTAAAATTGGCAAGAGAAACGTCAAGTAACTTTCAAAGGATATCCCATAAGGCTAACGTTGGACCTCTCATGGGAAACAATGCAAGCAAGGAAAGAATGGGAAAATATATTCAGTGTTAAGTGAAAAACAAGTTCAACCAAGAATACTATACCTTTCATATGAGAAAAAAGACAAAAACGTTGTCAGATAAACAAAACCTGGAAGAATTTACCAATACCAGACCAACTCTCCAAGAAGTGCTGAAGGGAATGCTATACCAGGAAAACTAAAGTCGGACACACAGAAATAAGAGTACAAGAAACAACCAAGAAAATGGCCAGCCTAATGGTAGGAACAAGTCCAGAATTGAATTTCAACTTCTAGAGTTTAAATGGAAAGATCAGACTACAGTAAAGAGAGATTACATGGTTCTAAACTAGTGAAATATAATTTTTTAACTTTAGACTAAAACATTACTGATTTTCTTTGATGCTTTGGTTTCTATATTTAAGGGTTTTTGTCTTCTCCTGAACTGTCAATAGGTTCATCTGCCTACTATTTGCACTGATTCCTAACCCTTTTTCTTGGCTTTAAGCTTTTAAGCAAATTTATCTTAACATTGTTTTTTATTTTGATCTATTAAAACTAAATTTTTTGAAATATAAAAATGCATTAAAAATACCTATTAATACCTATTTAATGACTGCAGTAAGCTATATAGACCCAGCAAGGTGCTACTTTATAGTAAGTTCACTTTACTCACTGAGGTTTATGCCTAAAATCAGACATGTGTTCATAAATATGAATATATCAGCTGTGCTTGCTATTGAAAGTATTTAAGTTAATTATGATCTTTAGTGAATCAATAAAATGTGGGAAAAAAAGGTATGGAAAACAACTGTACATACCAGAGATCATGTGGGAGAAGGGGGGAATTGGCAGAGGGTGAGAGGTAGGGAATCAAGGGGGGGGCGGAAGCAAAATTGACAAGAAACAAGAAATAGAAAACTACTTGTTGATGATAACATGTATGGTAATATCCTTGATTGAGACAATATACAATATATACTGGATAGAAAATCTCATTTTGTATACTGTGTTGATGTACAGTGAATGACTGTAAATAAATAGATAAAAAAATTTTAAAAAATCATATACGAGTTTTTCCTTGAACTCCTATGTTAAAAATTAATAAATTAAAATTTACCAGAGAGTGTATGCATTGGCCAGAGAGAGACAAGAAAGAAGGAAAGGAAGAAAGCACTCTCCCAATGAGGTGTGGCCACACTACTATTAGTTTTCCTCTATTTCTCCACCCTGTCAGAAT